CTCATGGCTTCGCTAGGATTGGTAGAAGGTGGCTCTCGTGCAGGACAAGGGAGTCAATCGAAGCAAGTCACTATGCAGGATCAGGCGACAAGTCCAATCATGATTGAGGATGATGACCAGTCTAATTCTGTTGGTAATAAGTAAGCGGAGCAAAATCCATACACAACGCCTCTGGCCATTCTCGCATATATTCAGTTCTCACTCTCGTCTTTTGTATATCTCCAAAACTCCAGAGAATCAAGCTAATTCTAATGATGAAATCCGTGCCACTAATACACAGGATAACTTAGAGAATCAATCTAATGTAAATAGCGGGGATGACACCAATGTGCAAGAAAGTAAATCTCAATCAAGAAGAAATTCATCAAAAAAATGGACCTTTCCAAAGATCACTCGTGAACAAGAAAAATTCCAGGCCTTGTTGTAAGAATTATCTACGCCTGCCAAGGGAGAGAAAGCCGAAAATGTTGATGAGAAGGAGGATGCTGATGGATCTGTATCTCAAAGCTTAGCCCGATTATATCAAAAGGTGACTCATACTGGATTACGCGTTATAAAGGCAAATCAAGATGAAATTTTATGTTGATATAAATATGCTAAAAGGTTCGAAAATAGGGTTAGGAAAATTAGATCTTAAGATTCATCAGTTACCGATTCAACAGCTAGAAGTCGAGCATACTGCGAAGTCTCTCAACATCTTCCAGGAATTACAGAAGCAAATTTGCGTAAGAAAATCCAGAAAACAAGGAATATATATAAGGTGTTTGTAAGAATAGGAACAAACAAGATCAAGCGGGTGAAATCATATAACGCTGATGCTATTTCAAGCCTATCTACTACCCAAATTTAAAGTATTATAGACTGTTTCTCTATGTAATCACTATCACGTGATTTCGTGAAGATTCTTAACTCCTCAGCATAACCACCAAAAAATCACTGGCACATGATTAATTTTGCCGATAATGTCTAAAAATGGTTAGATTAATTTTAACGAAAATTTTATTTTTTAAAATAAAACTTAATACAGAATTTTTTCAGCTTTTAAAATTATACCATTTATAGGAATTCGTATCTGCTCTACAAGTTTACTTAGTGATAAAAAGGAGATTTTAAATGCCATTTTTGACTTATATATGTAATTTTGTAAAAGTTAACTTTACTTAAAAAATGGTATTTAAAATCCTCATTTTCTCTCTAAGTAAACTTGCAGAGAAAGCAAAAATACATATAGGATTTAATTTAGGAATTCATATCTACCTATAAGTATGTTATAAAGTTACTATCAGATTATGAATATAGGTTATGAAGTTACCACCAGATCATGCAATTAGATTATGACATTACCGTTATATTATGAAGTTACCATTATATTATGAAGATATCGATAGACTGTGAAGTTACCATTATATTATGAAGTTACCGATAGACTATGAAGTTACCTTCATAATCTAATCTAAGTCACATGCGACTATATAATTTCACTAAATTTTACCTTTTCCATTTAAATGACTTGTAAAACTTCTAAGATTTGTCTAGTAACCTTAGTGATTTTTATAAAAAATATTTTTTAAAAGTATTTTAAGATATTTAATATAAATATTTAAGGCTGCATATTATAAATATCTCTTCTTTGAATAAAGGTGATTATAATATTTTTTATATTAATATAAATATAAGAAAAAATGAAAAAATGTTAGGCTTAGTATAGAAATAGTAAGATGATATCTTCATAAGTCTGGAAAAAAGTTTAGTAATAAAATTTCTAAACCTTTGCTTAAAAAAGATCATTGAAAGAAAAGATTGCAATAGGCAAAAAACATAAAAATTTTGATTAAAATCAAATTGTTTTACAGATGAGAATATATTTCAATTATATATATCAAAAAAAACATTTGACAGTTTTCTGATAGAAAAAAATTGTTTTGTTCTGTTAAGCATCTACTAAAAGTTTATGTTTGGGAATGTTTTTTTGCTTTTAGATTTAATAAGTTATTTTACTTTCAAAAAAATCTTAATATTAAATTTATGTGTACTATTTATGAGCAGGGTCTTTTGGCTTTTACCTTTAAACTTTTTGGTAAAGGTAACATAAATTGGATCTTGCAAGAAAATAATGATTCAAAATATCAATTGAAAATTGTGAAAAAATAGAAAAAAGAAAATAGTATTGAGGTATTTTCTTAGCCATCAATGTCTTTAGACCAAAATCCTATAAAAAATGTTTAGAAGTTAATGTAGATTAATATACAAAAAATATATTCAATCAATTAGAGAGTTAAAGGGAAAACTTATAAAAAAATAGAACTAATTATCATCTGTACTTGTTGCGAATTTAATAGCTAGTATGAAAAAGTATATAGCTGAATCAGATGATGACTACATAATGTATTAATTTTAATTAGTTAATTATGTATTTTTAAATAAAAAAATTTTTGAATTTATTTACTTATAATCAGAATTAAAAGCAGTCAGATACTTATGATCACTATTGTAAATTAACTTATAACTCTATATAAATCTTTTGAGTATTAATAGGACTACTGATATAGTTATACTTATGTTACTTAGAAGAATTATTTCTAAAGTGTATAATATAGTTATCTTAATGTAATATCTTCATAATCAGGAATCCTATAATAATTAATATTTAATTCTAGTTTACTGAAGTGTAAATATACTTTATAGTATATAAAAAATCATTAAATTACTAAAGTATAAATATACTTACTCTATATAATAGAACAATTAACTTATTGAGATATAAATATACTTTATAGTATATAATAGAATTATCAGTTAACTTATCAACTATCAAATTACTATAAACTTAAAAAGAATTAACCTTTAATACTATCTAACTGTTATAATTTGTAAGGATTGTACATAAATAGTAATAAAATTTATTATCACTATTTTTTTTTAATATATTATATATAATATTTATTAAAATACTTATAAAGAGTAGTTGATTTAAATTTATAAATAAATAAAATATAGATTGCAATAAAAAGAGGAAAATGGCTAAAAAAAATAAAAAATAAGTTAATGCTAAATCTAAACATATTTTGACCTAAAAATTATATTTGGCATATAGAAGTAAAATTAACTTTTTCTAGAAGTTTCTTCTCTTTTTCTATTGTAAAAGTCTCATATTATAATTAAATTTAATTCCATTTTTGATTCAGAATATTATACTTAATCTTTAATTTTAATCTTTAATTCTAATTTCTAATCTTCAATTCTTTAGATTTAATAATTATTAAGTAATTTATAAATTAATATAAATTTATATTAATATAGGAGATATTAATATATAATAGAAACTTTCCTTTTATTTATAAAATTTAATCTTTATTTAAAATCATTCTTTTATATATAAATTAGTAATTAAAATTTTTTGTTTATTTAATTTTAAATTTATTATAATTTTAAGGAAAATCTATGATTAATCACCGGTTATTATCACCTATATAAATTTGAATTTTAAAATTTTGAATTTTGAATTTTTTAAAAATCACATATTTATTCATATAATGAAAATAGACTACTAAAATAACATAATTCTGATTTAATAATATGACGAAAATAGACTACTAAAATGACATAATTCTGAATATTCATCTTATCAATCCTTTTTCAAATTTTCTTTTTTATTTACTTCGTTCGCCTTAACATTTTTTGAAAAATTTATTTATTGCCTTTACTTCATATACCTTTTTAATTATAAATTTCATTATGAACGAACTTGAGTAAATTTTTATTAACGACTCTTCAAACATTAATATAGGTATATTTTATTTTTTGCTGTAAATTATAATATTAGATTAGAGTGAATTTTGCTTCAAAGTAGCTTAGAATTAAAGTTAGGATTAGGGTCAGTATTAATGTTAGGGTATAGAGGTTGTTAAACTATTCTTTTTATTTATGTTAGGGTTAGGGTTAAGGTTAAGATATGGAGGTAGCTAAATAATTCTTTTCATTTATGTTAAGATTAGGGTTAGGATATAGAGGTTGTTAAACTATTCTTTTTATTTATGTTAAGATTAGGGTTAGGGTATAGAAGTTGTTAAACCATTTTTTTCATTTATGTTAAATCCTCTTAAAAGAAGAAATTTAAGATCATTGAAAGGAAGAAAACCTAGCCTTTTATATATTTTTTTCATATGGTTCATATATTTTGGGATTTGATTACCCTTTTAACATATTTTCTTTATCCAGTTCATATATTTTAAGATTTAATCACTCTTTTAACACATTTTCTTCACCTAGTTTATATATTTTAGGATTTGATCTCTCTTTATTTTTTTTCGCCTAGATCATTTGTTTTGGAATTTGATCACTCTTTTATATATTTTCTTTGCCTGGATCATTTGTTTTAGAATTTAATTTCCCTTTAACATATTTTCTTCGCTTGAATTATTTATTTTAGGATTTGGTCTTCCTTTTACATATTTTTTTTACTTGAATCATTTATTTTAGAATTTGATCTCCTTTTTCATATTTTCTTTATCTAGATTATTTGTTTTAGAATTTTGATTATCCTTTTAACACATTTTTTTCTCTTGATTCATTTATTTTGAGATTTAATTACCCTTTTAATATATTTAAAAAATGAAAATGAAGAACAAGTATTAAGAATTGGTAAAGAATTTGATTCATAGAATGAGATTGATAGATTTTTTGATAAATATACATTATCAAAAGGTTTTGCTATAAGAAAATCTCAAAAAGATTATAATATATTAGAGGATGACTCTCATCATCTTGTTAGAAAAACTTATTCATGTACTTTTTCAAGAAATTACAAACTAAATAAAGTTACTAATATATTAAAATAACATTAACGTACATCAAATTCAATTGGATATCAATAAAAAGCTAATTTAAATTAGTCTAAAACATCACCTTTAATACATTTGACCTCATTTTAATGATAATTATAATTATTCTCTAAATCTATTAATTCACAAAAATTTTCTAAAATATCGAAGATTTTCTAAAGAAATAAAAGCTAATATAAAATTCTATATAATACATGATGAGCCTTCAATTAGAGTTAAAATTATTTGAGATTTACTACAAGTCAAATATTCACAGTAATATATACATCCATAAATAATTTATAATATTATTCAAGAATATAAGCCTTTAACTCCTACTGTATTACAACATGATGCAACAAATTTACTTAATTTATTAAGAAAAAATTAAGCTAAGAACCCAGAGTGGTATTACTAAGCTTGATTTGATGAAGTAAATAGAAGACTTACTTTAATATTTTGGATATTTCTGGTATAAAAACAACTTTGTCTACGTTATCATGATGTTGTAATTAATAATTCAACATATAAAAAAAATTGTTATGATTTAGCTTTAAATATTATTATTTGTATTGATTGTGATAATCATTTCAGATTAGTTGCATGTGCTTTAGTAGATGATGAAACTGAAACAACATTTAAATGGATCTATGAAAATGTAAAAATTGCTATAAAAAATATCACACCACATTGAATATATACTGATGGAGATTCTACTATGTTTTGAGCTATTAAAGATATATTTAATATAACAGTATATTTTATCTGTATCTATCACATTGATTAAAATATTTAGAAAAAATTAAAAAGTACTTTTGGATTAAATTTTACTCAATTTTGTAAAGATTTTTATCAAGTACAAAACAGTTTAAATGTTGAAATTTTGATTTTTATTGAGAGAAATTAAAAAATAACTACAATACAGAATCTCTATAATAGGAACTTTATTATAATAAAAATATAACAAATTAAAATGCAAAAAAAAATTTTTATTATATATAAAATTGAAGATTTAATCTATAAAATAAATAAATATTGACTTATGCTTTAAAAATCTTGGATTAGAATTTTAATATTTTCAATATTGATAAAGTTATACCAGGTTAAATTTATCCAAAATTAATTATAAAAACTGAAATTGAAAAAAATATATGATGATAAATTTATAAGAATAATTCTTTTATCATTTGTATATTTTAACTTAAATATTATTATAAATTAAATTATATAAAGATATATTAGGGTATAGTAAAAAAAATATACAAGAATATTGCAATTACATATAGGTTAAATTATAATAAATTATTCCTAAAGTATTAGATTCTGTTCTTTTTTTACAATTTAAAAATATGCACAAAAATTATAATAATTTATGAATATTTATAGAAAATTTATTACTAGAAAAATAGTAAAGTTGCAGCTAAAAAATATAAGTTTTATTGTCATGTATCTGATACAATTTATAATAAAATAATAAAATAAAATAAAATAAATTATTTTATATGATTTTAATTCTAGTTTCTGATTGGCTTATATATATATTACACAATGCTTATATAATTTTCAAAATTGAAAAAACTTTTTTTATAAATTGATTCATTTTTACAAATATAAATCATGTTTTTTATTTAATTAAAATTTAATCAGTGGATTAAATTTTATTAATGTTTTTTTAAGTTCCTATTATAGAGGTTTCGCATTGTATCTATTAGCAGTTTTATATTTAAATTGAGTATTAGATCAAAATTAGACTGCATAGGTACTTTATTATAATCATAAAATGTTTATTACTGGCATTCAAAATATATCATGAGTAGAAGCAATAAATTTAATTATTGCATCTAATACAAATTGAAGTACTAGACTTTGTCAATTATATAATATTCTAATGGGCCATTATAATTTAGAAGCTAAAAATGTATTAATAAATTAATAATTACAAAAACAGCCAAATGTCTCATTGCTAACAGTTTATAATACAATATATAAATTAATTGATGAAGAAATTCAGAATTATTTATTGTTTAATATGTATAACAAAGTTTGTGCTCAAATTTCTGAAAGCTTTTTATATACTACTCAATAATTTGAAGACAATCTTGAAGAATATGTTGATATAAGTAACTTTTTTATTGCTTTTGTAATTAAACTATATGAGCTAATTTATAATCAAATATTTAGTCACAGCATAAGAATATGGATGATACAACTAAAGAATATCTTGAAGAAATATATAAAATCCACAAATTAACTTAAAAACTTTATTGGAATATATAAAACAACGATCTATTATATCTTTATAGATTATTAGACCTATGGTTTCAAATTAGAATCATCATATTTTAATTTTAAATGATGGATCTTTCCTATGCACATGCTTTACAATTATCAACTTTGGTATACCTTGTCAACATTTTTTTTGTTTAATAAGATATACCAGTAATGCGTAATTTATAATGGCCTTAATTAATCATAAATGGTTTAATGATGATAAGTTTTTGATTCAACAATGACATAAAATCAATTAGTATTGTTCAGGAAGAATCTTATATAGATATTCTAATAACACCAAAGTGTCAGATTCTAAATACATTAAGAGGAAGTATTATCAATATAGAATCAATAAAAAAATTATCTAAACAAAAACAACAATTTATTGAGGAATATGACTATGTTAAAAAAGCATTTGAATTTGGCAATTAGGACTGACTCTGTTGATGAATTAATTGGATTGTGTAATAGGTTTATGGCTTATCACATTCATGTTAATACATAACAAACTAATGAATCATATCAAAATGATTCTAATTATATTCCAAATCCAATTGTATACAAAGTTCGTGGGCGTCCACTTAAAAGATTAAAAAGTGCAGCGGAAATTGATAAAAGTAAAAGGCCCTTGAAAGAACTTACAAATATTAACCAAATTGTTGAACAAGATTCATCCAATTATGCAGAAACAAGTGTAGCTAGAGCAATTCGTGAACGTGGACAGCGAATATGTAGAAAATGTGGTAAATTTGGCCATTATCAAAAGAATTGTAATAAGTAATGTAAAGATTTATTATATAAGTAGTACAGATTTATTATAGAAAGTATACTTAAAGAAAAATAAAATTTTATTACGTCTTGCATCAAAAAATTAATATGTTTCTTCACAGCAATGTTTTGCATGATAAGTAACACGAATTTTACAAGTCACGTGAAATTTGATACGGTGGTGTAATAACCATATACATGTAGTTAAAACACCACATCAACTGGTTACATAACCGGGGTGGTTGTTATAACCACGGTTAAGTTTAGAAACGGCCATAATTTTAATTAGTTTTTTGTTTCGGTTAGGATCCCGTGACCGCACTGCTCCGAGCTCGTGAATTCCTAAGTTCCATATTAAATCATCCGGTGCATTCAGAACTCGCGTCAATATTATACATACATCGAAACGATCGAAACGATTATTATGTACAACTTAATTATTACATCAAAATTTATTTAATTAATAAAAAAAAATAAGTTAATTTGGAAGGACGTTTTCGTCAATTTTAATTTTAAGTGCTCGGTGACTCTGATACCTCACTGTACATGTTAGCTACGGAAGGCATCATTAAATTATCATTTATTAGAGCCCTTTATAAAAACTTAAAAGCACTTTAGCTTCAAAATCTGTTCCTCATAAATCACTTGTTCCCATACTAATCTTTCCCGTGATAGCTGTTCTACAACGCTCCACTCATCCGGGCCTAACTCACTTAATTAATTCGGTTATCCAGTCTCTATAGGCAGTGTTGCCATTTGACCACGGCCAAGAAATTTTTAGCCATTTTGGCCGGCAAAATTGGCCAAATGGCCAATGGCCAAAGGCTAATAAATGCTTAGACCTTAATGTTTTCTATCTTTTCTAATACACTTTCTAAAAATATCGTATGTGACCTTTTTCTGTTCATTCGTTAAGTGGTTTGTGTTATCGTTTAATGAGCTAAATCCACGTGATATATCATTTTCAGTTTCTACGTTCAACCGGAAATACCATATGATTCGTTTCCGCTAACTGTTAAGTCTTATTCCGGGTGAATTTTTTTTGTTCCAAGTTAGCGAGATCCTGCTGTGTTTGAATGAATTTGAGTCATTTTTATATATATTGTCATATGTATTAAAAATAATAAATATCGTAAAATTCCAACGCGTTAAAGATTTTGGAAGATATCATATATGCTATATGTGATTCCTGTGTAGGGCGCCAGTATTTCAACAAAATAAAAATTTATTAACCGGCGAAAAAACAATATCATATTAAAAAAATACGTTAGAAACGAAACAAAAACGTCCTTTTGAGCAGGTAATAAATTGAATCGATTAACTTTGAATGCGAAAATGACAAGGTTTTGGTTCAACTTATATATTTTCCTGGCTCACCTTCAAACCCTGGAAACTTTAATTTTTACAGGACAAGCATTACTTTTCTTGCCACTTCATCGTCAAGTTGATCTTTAGGATCTGGAACAATATATTATTATGGTATAAGTCTTATTGGCGGGCGTCATGGTGAAACTGAAATGGAGTTTGGAACATGGGACACACCTGGTGAAACGACACTCTTTTGACGTGAAAAAAAAGGAGATAGTGAGCGTATGACAATCGTGTCTTATAGTTGAAAAGTATTTAATACCTGATATAATCAGTGAACTTTGGTTTTTTTGCCGGAAAATAATTGTGTTGATTGATAAAAAATTACGCTTATAATTCTGACAGGAGTTTGTTTAAATTTTAAAATTTTGGGCGGGATTATTAATATTAAGCATTGTAATTGACATTTTTTGCTTCCATTAACTTCCTATAAACATTAATTTATGGAATTTCAGTACCGAAAGTTGAGGACGAATTGTTAAATTATTGATAATATTTATTTATACTTTTTTTTGTAGTTTTACATATGGAAAACATTACTTATTTATCTAGAAATTTAATGTCCAGAGAATAATTCATAAATATTATGTAATGAAAGTAAAAGAAATAGGCACATTTGTACAAAAAAAGAAAATGTTTATTACATGGTATTGTTGTATAATAGTAAAGAATGACCCTTCACCAAACAGCCTTTTTAACTCCAGGTATCTCTCCATTCAAAGCTTTCAATCTAAATTGATATCGACAAAGTCTTGAATCTCTAAAAACACCACGAGCTCGACCAGTTTCAGTACAACGATTTCTGATAGTTGTAGGACGTGTTTCACGAGGTAAGGCATTTAGCATAAGTTGAGCTTGTTGTCTAATTCTTGAATGAATTTGTTCGTTACGTGTGATATAACGATAAGCCTGTCGAATTAATTCGGTGGCTGCGACTGTTTCGCGAGTTTTTATGTCGCGACGAACTCTTGCTTGTCTTAGAATACGAAAATGCATTTTTTTTTTTTTTTTTTTATAGATGAGATTAGTTGTATTATTTATAATTGTGTCATTTGTGTTACATAAATTGCAATTATCAGTACTACCAATGTAAAAAGATCAAATTCCTTAAAAAATTCCCGGAACCTAGCAATCAACCCAAATGATATTAAATAAAAATAAAAATAAAAATAAAGTAAATGAGATGCATAAATTTAATTCCTAACTTTGTTAATATTATTTTTTTCTTTTTTAAATTTAAAGTAGTTTTATTATATTATTTATTATTATTAAATTTTATTAAAATAAATTATTTTTTTTTTAATAATTTTATTAATTACAAATAATAGATTTAGAAAAGAAATTACTGTACAATGATTTTTACTTTTATAAACTAAGATCAGATTTAATATTAAAAAAAGATTTTTAGAAGTATTCTTTTTTATCACTACAAAATGCCAATGATATATTATATAAAAAATCTGTTATAACCATTATAAAATATTATTTAAAATATATTAATAGTTTTATTTATTAATTTAACAAGATATAGATTCTTATTTAAACGATTAAATAATCTTATAAAATAAAGTGATTTTTCATTTAAATTTTATAAATATTAATTTTAAATAATATAAAATTTTAATATAGTTAGACCTTTATATAATTATATCTCTTTATAAGCATCCATTTTGTAAAACAGATTTTAGTATAATTAAATTACTTTTATATTAGCTATACAGTCTATTCTTGATATAGTGAATTTGATAAATAAATCATGTGATGTTTGATCAATTAAATATGTCAATTTTCCCTCTCTATAACGAAATAATCAATCAAATCCTTCAAATTCTTTACTAAATTGCTATAACGAAATTAAGATGACTTCGCTATATTAATAGTAGACTATAATCACTATCACACAAAATTTTAAATATATATTACTTTAATTTATTCTAAAGATAATAAATTTTTTATTTAAAGTAAATATTTTAAACTTATGATTATTATCAAATTTAATTTTAAAAAATCAAAATATAATGTGAAAAAATTTCTTTTTTTTACTAATGTCATTTTTTAAAACTAAACCAATTAAATTAATCAAATTACCTAATCCTTGGCATAATCAAAGTAAATAAAAGTAAATAATATATAGATATTGCAAACTACTTTAATATAATGCATTCTAATTTAAATATTCTTTTATTATTGCTTTTATTACTAGTTTTTTATCATTTTTAGTTTCTAAATTTATTGCAATTTTTACTACTATATTGATTGCTTCTCATCACTGCAGAATTAATATTTTACTGACTCAGTAGTCATAATTTCTCAATTTATAAAATTTAAATCCTTTTTTTTATTCTTACCTACCTTTTGACCCATTCTTAAAATTAAAAATTATGTATATTAGTGTTGCTTATTTGAAGTTATTTTACATAAATACTTATGTCTCATTAATTAAAGTCAAAGCATATTTGAACAATTTTTATAATAATCAAGTTAATAATACTCTTCTAAGAACTATGCAGACTCTACAGCCCTTCAACTCAACTTATATAATATTTTTAAAAGTTTTTTTACATATCAAAACTCACCTGTTCTTATTTTAATATAACAATTTGTCAAAAAATTAAATTGAAAAATATCTATTATAAAACTTATTAAACTAGATGTTCTATCAAAAAATTTCTCAATTATTCATCTACACTAATTGATCATATCATTCTCATTAATAATAATATTACTCTAACCTATACTAATTATGTTACTTTTTTCTTATAGAAAGTCAAATACTAATAGCTTTTAGAGATACTTTTATTTTAGAAGTTTTAAAACAAAGATATTTATTTATACATATAGATGAAATCTTTAGTTTTAGTTAGGTTTCAGTTTTAAGTTTCAGGCAGTTTTAGATTTCAAAATCTTATTTCTAAAACTAAAATCTTAGTTAAAATCTAAAATCTCAAATGAAATCTAAAACTATATCTGAAATCCTTTCTAAGGTTAAAATCTTAAAATAGAAGAAGGAAAATTAAAAGATTTAATCATTTAATATAATCTAGATCTAATTTCTTCATAAAATTTTTTCATCTTTACTTCTTTTCCTAAAAGTTTATATTTTTAAAATTTAAATTTTAAAATATCAAAAAAAGTAAATAGACATCCTATTAGTAAAATATAGAGTTAATTTATAAAGGAAGATTTAGTATCTAATTTTAAAAGATAAGTAGCAAACACTCTTATAAGAGTATTTGCTACTTACGTTATAATGTTACCTACTTATTGGTATAATATTACCTACTTACTGTTTTCATCATTCCTGTACCTGTTTTATTGATTTTTGATATCTATTTGATTTTATTCTCTGTAACCTTTTTATTGCTTTGTAGATATTTACTTGATTTATTGCTCTATCCTCTTTTTATTACCTTCTAGCTATCCACTTATTTTTATTACTCTGCAGTCTTTTTGTGACTAAGATGCTAGGTTGACATTAATTGCAAAAAATCATGTTGTGATTGGGTGATGCAATTAATTTGCTAATCAGATTTTGGCTGGCACTATGCTATATTTTTGATCTGATCTTTAGGGTGAAATATCTTAGCTTTCTGTGATTAGTTTTATATGATTTTATGATCATTTGAAGAGAGTGTTGAGAGCTTTCCAATGATGCTAAGATCACATAAATCAGATGTCTGGATGCTGAGTTATTGCATTTCAAATATTTAGAAAAAAATATGGAATAGTGTTAGCCAAAATTAATGAAATTTACTGCGTCTTACTGTGTTGATCACGTGTTTTAGTTTCTCGCTAATTTCAGGTATTTTCTCATCACTTTTAAGTAACTTTTGAGTAACTTTTAAGGGCCTAGTTTGGTGGTCAATTGGTTAGAGAATCAGAGGTATAATTTGCATTATATTAATCAGCCCATATATTTTCCTTCTTGATTGTCATCTTTTGATTGCTAGATAAGGCACGAAGTGCTGAATTTGCAATCTATTTATTTGCTAAAGATGTGTTACAATCCATTCACTCACTTTTTGATTGTCAGTCAGGCACAAAGTGCTGATGTTATGCTATTTTTGCAATTCTGCCTATGACCTTTTGATTGTTGAGGATGAGGCATGAAGTGCTGAATTAGTTCTGGCTATACAGCTTTCATACCCTTTTTTCATGTATTCTTCTAAATTTTTCTGCTTTTCTAATCTCTTTTCTGCCTATTGATAATAGTATCTCAAGTTGTAATTTCTTATTTTCTTTCTATATATTATTTTAATTTGGGTTACTACTAATTTTATATCTTATTTTTCGCCTAAGCTTTCTTAAAATTCTTTCTTATATAGTTGCTATTAGCTCATATCGTCTAGTCACGATAAATTTTTTTTTTAGTGTCAAATTTATTAATTACATATAAACATATAAAATCATGTGACTAAAAAGTGCCAAATTTATAAATTTATATATAGATCACGTGATACACAATTGATATTTATACTTTATTAAATTGATTTAAGATAATTTTTTAAAAATTGATTGAGAAATAACACGATGTCTTTTATACTTTTTAACTGCATATTCTGCTTGCTTTGCATTAAGTCCTTTTCTATAAGCATCTATATATCTAAAAGACTTTTGTGCATAACCTCGAATTTATTTTAAAGAAATTAAATCTAATACTTCTGGTATAATCTTTTGTAAATCTCGCCAAGTATAATCATATTTTCTTCTTGTATATCATTTTGCATCTCTCTAATAAATTTCAATAAAGTTGAATTCACAATGAAATTTAAAATAAAAAATAACTTTATGATCCAAATTTTCGATTGTTTCACAAATTAAACAAGATTGATTATGAAAATTATTTTATTATTCTAAAATATATTGCATACAACAATTTTCTCCAGATGTATTATTTTTGCAAAAACCAATTAATTTTTCATTCCATAATCCTCTTTCTTGAAGAATTGCTTTTATTCCTTTTAGTTTTTCTCGTAATTTAAGATTTAGATAATCATTTGAAAATACCATATATTGTACTTGACCATTAAAAATTGTATCACGCATTTTTGGTTGTTTTCCACCAGGACTTACATTCATTGCTTTTGCATTAGATGCATCTGATGCATAAGTACCATGTAAAGAAGAATTATCAAAAGCAAATATAGCAATAACTCTGGGATATGTTATTTCAAAAATGGAAATTACTTTTTCAACAATCTATATATGTAAATTTAATTAATAAAAAATTATATTTTTTATAAAATAATATATAATTACATACCTGCTTAATCAATTGTTTAATATTCCAATAACCATCATGATTTTTTCCAGGATGTATTATTATTTTTGCTTCATATGGAAAGTTTTTACCAACAGTATTTATTTGTTCTTCATTAAGTTTAAGTCTTCTGATAGTTTTACATAAAAAATCACTAATATGAATCACTTGACCTTATCCTTTTTTTCGAAGTGACTGTTCAGTATCAGGATTCCATCCAGATTTTTGACCATCATTAGCATGAAACAATGTTTAATCATGAGTAATAAAAATATGAGGTTTATTCATTTCATTAAGAACAGGATTTATTTGAATTTCTAAATCATTTCCTTCAAAGCGTGGCATTAACTTTTCATATCTATTAAAATAAATTTTATTATATTAATTATTTTATTATAAACAAAAATAAATAAATAAATAAAATATAAGCATACTCTGTTATTTAGTAAGAAATTGTTGATGATATTTAACAACATCAGCTCTTTCATGTCTATTAATATATATTTCTTTATGATACCTTTTATATTGAAAACCCATCTTATAAAGCCAACGTCGAGCTGTACTTTTTCTAATTAAATAAAAAAAGTAATTAAAAATATATCTTAATATAAAAGTTCAATAATTAAAAAAAATATTATATAGTTTTACGTTCAATTTTGAAAATATATAATCTGATATATAATTAATAAAATCTGATAAATAAAATTCAAATTTATTTATATGCAAATAGTTAACAATTTCATGATGTATGTCTTTATCATCAAGAAAACTTTTGACTTTAATATATTTCTCACGCATTGAAATAGGAATTTCTTGATTTTGTGCTAACATACAAGTCTACTTTTAAAATTGACGAACAAAATATTCATTTTTACCTAATTGTTATACAAAAAAAGGCTAGTTTCCATTTTTTTGATATTTAATTGACAGCATCAACAATATTGAAGTATAGCTCCTAATCGCCATTTTTGTTCAGGTAATAGAATCTCATCTTGAAGTTTTTTTCTATAAACAGAATTAACTTTATTAATTCAATTTTATTATCAAAATCACTTTCTATTTCTAGCTCTATAGATGGTGAATCAATATCATCATGACTTTCCAATTCATTTAAACAAGCATCATCCATTTGTATGTCAGGTTTATTTTATACAGAAGAAAAAATTGTGTAATAGTATTGCCATTTTGTATGGCCATTTTTTTTGTGGCTGCTTTACGTCTTTTTGAGTTCAGATATTATTACCTATATATCGAAGTGGTCATTTAGGTTTGATATTTTTTGTACTGAAAAGCAGCTTTTTTAACGTATTTTTAGGTTCATTATCAAGTTCAGAATCTGCCTACATAATCTCATCATCAGAAGATATTTCAGAATCAGATGACAAATCCTCTTCAAATGGAAAATCTTCGATGATAATCAGCTTATTCTTTAAAAATATTTGTTTTAAATATTTTTTTTTGCTTTGACCGACGTCCCATTGTCCCATGGATGAAGTTTTACATTTTTTTTTCTCACCCCTTTTTATAAAAGGTGTGCAAATTATGCACCAATAAAATTTAAAAAGCAAAAATTAGGAGCCCAGGTTATTTTTTTATTAAACATTGAAAAAAAAGTAGTGCCAAAGTTATTAAAGTTAATGTCGCACAAAAAGAAAGCTGCTAAAAAAAAGATTAAAACTTTATTTAAATCAAGGGGATTGGTATCCCTAGTTTAGTTGGCAACAACTGAGCTCCTATTGTAGGTTACACTGTGATAATCACAGGTTCAGACCTCAGCTGAAACATAAAACTAGATAATTTTCATAAGAATTTTATATGTAACTGAATACATGAGCGTTTAGA